TATATATATATATATATATATATATATATATATATATATATATATATATATATATCTTCAGTAATACGTGTGACTCATATGGAAACCTCGTATTTTCTTGATTTATATATTAGAGGTTGATGCAAAAAGTATTTACTATTACTATTATTTTAAGTATTACTATTAAGTATTACTATTTTTTTTTATTAAATTCTCGTTAGAGGTTTGGGCACTAAAAATACGATAGAAATTCTTTATTAGATGTCTAAAAGAAATGCTGAGTCATTTTGTTTATTTTATATTCCCCGAAATTATTAATCCATCAACACTGTATAATATTGTTCTCTATTTTTTGACTAACACGACAAATTTTTTGCACTAACTCAATAGATTTTGTTCTTTATCGTCTCATGTACACTTTTAATCGTATGTGTGATTTGAAAATATCATATCTTCTGGATTTTATTATTATTTTATTATTATTAGTATCAGCAGTTGATAATATTATTAGTATTATTAATACAAAAGTTTTGCTATTTTTCTCTTAAATTCTCGCGGGAAATTTGAGTGTTGAAAGGACTTTACACGAAAAAAATAGATTTGCTAATATAAGGACAACTAAAAATATTAACTGCAGGAGCAAATTTTCTTGCTTTCATAGCTTTCAAAGTTATTTAGTTGTGATAGCTAAAAGATTTGCTAATATAAGGACAACTAAAAATATTAACTGCAGGAGCAAATTTTCTTGCTTTCATAGCTTTCAAAGTTATTTAGTTGTGATAGCTAAAAGATTTGCTAATATATATATTAGTATGAAAGCAAGAAAATTTGCTCCTGCAGTTAATATTTTTAGTTGTCCTTATATTAGCAAATCTTTTAGCTATCACAACTAAATAACTTTGAAAGCTATGAAAGCAAGAAAATTTGCTCCTGCAGTTAATATTTTTAGTTGTCCTTATATTAGCAAATCTTTTAGCTATCACAACTAAATAACTTTGAAAGCTATGAAAGCAAGAAAATTTGCTCCTGCAGTTAATATTTTTAGTTGTCCTTATATTAGCAAATCTTTTAGCTATCACAACTAAATAACTTTGAAAGCTATGAAAGCAAGAAAATTTGCTCCTGCAGTTAATATTTTTAGTTGTCCTTATATTAGCAAATCTTTTAGCTATCACAACTAAATAACTTTGAAAGCTATGAAAGCAAGAAAATTTGCTCCTGCAGTTAATATTTTTAGTTGTCCTTATATTAGCAAATCTTTTAGCTATCACAACTAAATAATTTTGTTTCTAAGCAAAAAAATTTGTTCCTGCAATTAATATTTTTAGTTGTCCTTATATTAGCAAATCTTTTTTTTCCGTGTAGGAACTCAGATAATTATCACGACGTGAGATTTTACGATTTTTTAAATTATATTTATGAAGTAAATATATCGGGTATTGAATCAATTATTAAATTCATATCATACACAACAATGTAAATTTTGTGTTATATTGATGCAGCAACAAATTCACTAAAAGCTACACTCAGATTTTCATATCGCGTCTAACATAATGACATATTGTTTCTAGCAAGTTCTCATCATTTTTTTGTATTTCTTTCGTATTTCAATTTCGTCATTCTAAATATGTATGTAATAATGTATGCAATGATCTGATCAGTTACAAAATAACCCAACTGAATTGCTGAATGTCGTGACTTGACATATTCTAGGTTACCGTAAAGTTCATCTATTTTTCGAAGAGTTCTCCATCAGATGTCTAAGAAAAGAATGCTGAATCGAAGTTGTCGATTTCATTCGCGAAAATCATTAACTCTTCGATATCGAGTAACTTCGTTTTCTCTTCTACTCGACAAACACGAGCAGCCTCTCGCACCAATCTAAACAGATTTCCTTTCCCCATATCGGCACGAGAAAGCTCGTCGAGAGTGCCGCGTTTTCGCGTACATACGCGAGAAACACCCGCTGTAATTTCCTCAGCCGCCGTCTCGGAGCGCCGTCCGTCGCCTCGCGAAATCTTCCGGCGTGTTTTCATCGCGGATAAAGCTGAATTATCCAGAGTAAATTATACTGAGTGCCTCTTGATAACTACCCCTCCCCCCTCGAAAGACCTTCCCGGCGGTTTCGTGCAATAATTCACGATACACGGTGGCGGCGGCACTCAAGAAAATTACGCGCGGGCCGTCTCTTTACCCTCGGTAGCGCGCTCTCGCGCCACCCTCGCGCCACCCTCGCGCCACCCTCGCGCCATCGATAATATTTAAGCGGCCGAAGGACACCACTGGTACGGTACGTACCTTGACCACTCCTTCGTCAGGCACGTACTGAATCCTTTGCGACACTATGCTCGGCGGGGCGCGTATGTAGATGTTAGCGTAGCCGGTCAGCTCGGGAAAACCTTGCACGGTGGCCTTGCAGTAGTAACGTCCGGCGGTGTCCGGGCTGACAAAGACGCTTATGTTCGGACTGCTGGCGACCGATCGTTCCGAGTCCTCGTGGAACCACAGGATCTCCGGGGTGGGATTCCCGTCTACGTCGCACTGCAAGACCTCCGTGGCGCCGTAATGCGTTTCCACGGAGACCGGCGGGTGCCGAAACTGCGGGCCGTCTGAGAAATTCAATTTTAACCCGGGTCAGTTTCGCGAAATGAACTCGGAAAAATGTTACTTCCCGCCGTCTATTTTAGCCGCGACTTATTTCTAGAGCGCGCGAGACCGGCTGGTCGCCTCTCCCCTTCCCCCTTTCTCCGCAAGCGTCCCGCGCGCTCTAGTTTATACGTTTCTCACCTCTCCCACTCCTCCTACCCTCGCGATCGCGCTCGCGCTCGCCTTTAATACATCGCGCGCTCGTAAGTGCTCCTCGCTAAAACGAAATTTTCCGCCGCGCGGGTCCGCGCATGCGAAACTGGCGCCGCGCTGTGTCTTGCAGCCTTACTCCGGTGTGTTTGCTGGAAATACTTCCGGGAAAAACAAAATTATTCGCGGGGTCCCTTCGCGAGAATGGAAAACAGAATTGTTGGGCGCGCGCGCGCGCACACACACAAGCGAAACGCAGCTCGCGGGCACAGAATAAGCTGGCCGATATTTTGATCCTACTTTGTGGACTCCGATATTCCATGTAACGGCTATCTTGATACTCTGGAGCCTATAATGAAACTCTGTCGATTCTATTTAACCTGCCGGCTTCGCCGGGGGAAGCTTCTTTGGAAGCTACAAGTGACATTACTTGCGTTTTTTGCCATTTAGAAGCGTCAAGTAGGATTTTAGTCTCCATCTATATCACACATATTCTGGTCCTTCAGAATATACAGGCATTAGAAAATAATAAATTCAAAAATAGATCTAAAATTTCGACTCGCCTGGCAAGTAAACCTACTTAAAAGTTGCACTCCGATTTCTTTCTAATTTGGCACAAATAGAAGTACAAAAAATATTCAGGTCATATTTTTTTATTTTGGACATTTTGAGTTTCACAGACAGTTTTTTCTGTGAATGTTTTTTTTTATATCATATACACCAAGTACATCATCAAATTTACTATTTCTGTAATAGTTTATATATTACAATCTAACTTTCAGAAAGTTTTGCAAAAAGAAATATAATTTTGACGTAATTTTTTACTAGAATATTTTCTCCGTATACTTAGAAAAAAGCGTTTTGATAGTGACGCTTTCCTCTGAATAGAGTAACTTCGAAAATTTGAAGTTCTCATTTTTATTTTTATGTACAAAAATTGAGATTTTCGTCATTATTTAATTATTCTACTTTACTAAATTAAAATTTACTGATAAAAATTATTTATATATAATAATATAGTTTTTTAATATTTCTTTTTTTTTTTATTAAAGATTTTATATTTTAACCACACAGCAGTGTGGTTTAAAATACTCCCAAGTAATATGGTGACGTCAAATGACGTATTAGTGACATATCATTGACGCTAGGGACGTCATTAATGCGTCATTAAAACGTTATTTTTGACATCATCACGTTTGCTGGGCTTGGAACAACAAGATTCATTCATTTTAATTCAGATTGTGACTCAATGTCAGATTGTGAATATTTTCAGACGCAATGTGGGTTGATCTCTAATTATTTCAAAATTTTCACATTATCTCTGAGATATGGATAATACACCTTTAAGGCCGGTACTTACATCTTATGTCCAAGGTCTGGCTCTCCTCGCTTTTACCGACGTCGTTGTGAACTTCGCACTTGACAGTCGCGTCGTGCAGTTCGCGCGTGGCGTTGTGAATGATCATCTCCGTGGTGTAGTCCCCGATCACTTTTTTCTTGTTGATGAACCACCTGCGGAAAAAGCGAGGGCAATTTAGAGACGAGGGCAGTGAAGTGTGAATTTTCTCCGCGCGTAATAATTCCGACATTCGCGGTTGTAATAAGCCGTGACAGCATCGAAAAATCGCGGATTATCAGGCATTTTTCACGACTCGCGTATCGCACGCTCTTCTACCTCTGTCGTTTCGATATTCTCGCCTCACCTTTCGCTATCTCTCCCTTCGGATCAATACGGCTTTTAATAGTCGCGCGATGCAGTCAAACGATTATTTCTGCATCTCGACGCCAGGGCAAACGTGTTTTCTCGTCAATCCCCGTCACGTATATATGAGACGTTTCCTTATATAAAGTCGCGTTACAGCACACACATACACGCAGAAAAATATCATTACACTGCTAAGCAACGCGATCATTTACTTTCCTTCTTTACTTTCTTTCTTTGAAGTAATGGTTATCTTCTCAACAAATTTTCTTAAATATTTTTAAATATTTGATAATATTTTCTTGGTAATAGTCGCAAAATATACTCATCAAAAATTTAAGAAGGGCACGTTATTATGCACACAAAAGAAGAATTTTTATTTTCCTTACAGGGATATTAGAAAACTTAATTAAAGAAAAAGGTTGGTTTAATGTTCTGTGCCCTTTGAGTAAACTGAGTTTTTGTTTTGATTTATATTCTTGGTTAAAATGCTAAATTGACCAAAATTCAAAATATATTCTGAAACTTAATAAGTTTAATCAAGAATATTAAATTAAAATAAAAATTCCGTTTGTTGCATAAAGTAGAATCTGCTTTTTTCTTCGATTATTATTAAATTTGACACATAAACTTACGAAATGTTTGAAATAAATAACTGTCATTTAAAAGCAGTATGTATTTTTCTGTGTGAAAATTTACTTATTCCTTCGATAACCACGTAGAATCGTTTTAATAACTTTAATAATTTAATTAATTAATAATCGGGTGCGAATAATTTTTCTTCAATTTCAATTTCCCAACTTCCAGAATTCAAAAGGATATAATCTCATTATTAGCGGAATCCTTTTACGACTTCCAAAGAATTCTTTTCAAAAAGGAAAAAAAAAGGAATAAGAAAAAAATTCTAAACGCAATTTTCTTAAAATTAGAGAAATTTCGTGTTTTATTTAAAGTACAAATCTTGTTCTCAATAAAAATTTCTCCTAATGAGAGAGTATTCTGTTTCACAAGCAAACATATTCTCCTTTCATAGGAAACAGCATCTTGCAATTAGAGTTCTTTTTTGTGTACGCTGGGATTTTCCTTTTAGAAGAATCCTGTTGAGAGATCGTATTCTGGATTGTGTAGCAAGTAATAGCGAATCTCTTGGCCACAATGAAACGATTATACTTTTGTATCGTTATAATTTTGCGAACAACGCATGCGAAGAACGGCAGGAAAAGCGCAGATCGGAACGGCGCATAATACGTTGTGCTTCATGAAGTCGTAACGACATAAAGATACAGTCGTTCCATTTCACGAGAAAAATTCGAAATTACTTATTACACAACCCAAGACGTAAGATAGTTTTGTTGGGGATGAGCTGGTGTTTTTTTTGGACGCGAACGTTCTCCCGCGCAATCCACCTCACCTCACCTGAATATTACATCCCAAGTTTCGTATTAAGATGTTACCCAATTCAGGTGTCTGAGACTGAGGAGGAGGAGGAGAGCGGGAACGCATACACGCGTTCCTTATTTACTCCGATATCCGACGAGCTCTCCACCTTGCTTTTCATCCGTAGTCATTTATAATCCAAAAACCGCCGACGTCTCGGCGTTCCCGCCAACGAGAGGTCGACCGCGGTACGACGAGGAAATGAAAGGCTGCAAATTTCGCGACGTCGATTTCGCAGCGTCTTCTGTGCACACGACGCGCGCGCGTATTCGCGACGCTCTCCCGCCGCGCGAAGTAGCTTCGCCCTCTGCCAGACTGCGGAGGAGCGTCCTCGTAGGGCTCGAGCGATTTATCTCGAGCATCGTTTGGCCGCGCGCACAATCGACGAAAAGAGCCTCGGCGTCGTCTCGAATGGTAATAAACGGGCGAGAGGGCAGACTGCGCTTTTCACGGGGGGCTGGACGGGGGCAGGGGGGAGAAACGGCCTTCGCGTACAATCAGTGGTAAGGAGAGAGGAGCCGAATCGAACTGGGACGACGACTTACCGAGCTCTCGTGTGTCTCTAAGAGAGAGAGAGAGAGAGAGAGAGAGAGAGAGAGAGAGAGAGAG